CTCGACCCGCTGGGCTCCGGTGATCCTTCCGCCTCAGCCTTCCAAGTAGCCAGAATTACAGGCATGCGCTACCACGCCCGGCTCATTTTTTTTTTTTTTTTTTATTGTAGAGATGAGGGCTCATCAAGTTGCCCAGGCAGGTCTCGAACCCGCGGGCTCAGGCGATCCACTCACTTCAGCCTCCCAAAGCGCTGAGATTACAGGCTGAGCTACCGAGCCCGGCTCATTTTTTACTTATTAAATGGCCAAGTCAAATTTTAAATAGTAAGACTTAATGTCAGCTACGTTCCAGTGAAAGATGGGAAAACCCTGCTGCGTTGGAGGTTCGGAGTCTGGGAATTTCTCCTTGAACTATGGGGAATTGGGCATCGCTGGTCACAAGCTGCCTGCCTGATTTTAGAACACATCAACCGCTGTAAAATTGGGACAACATAGCTACCAAACAGACCTGTTGAAAGGATCAAATTATACGCATAGAGAAGAGCAAAATAAGTAATTTTTACTTTTTGTTCAACCCATTCACCCTTGCATTACTTCCGTCAGAGATCCCGGAAAAGAAATGGAATGACAGGAAAATCTGAATACTTTGCTGAAAAATTAGGAGTGGTGTTACAGTCTCTCAGGTTTTTATGCTCGCTGAGACCTAGCAGATCTTGCAGTGGAGAAAGAACTGAATAATCGTAAAGCAGCTGAGCGAGGGACAGGACAGATTTCTCAAATTTGCCTCGAGAGCACGCAGAAGTTGGGGCTTATAAGGGCAATTTGGCGGGCCAGGTCTAGGGAATCGCAGCTGCTGATTGGTTGGGGACGAAATCAGAGGTGGGACCCTCTCTGTGGCCAAGTCAGTTTCTGGATGCGATTCACGGTCCGGTTGGTGTCACATGGTCTACCCGAACGTAGAGTCTGAAAAACATCTCAGATGAATGGATAGGTTTAGCTAGCTATAGGAGCAAATGGGGAGGTCACAGATCTTGTGAACGATGGAATCAGGAGGGGGAATCGCAGTGATCAAAGCTGCTCACGTCCCTTTCTGGATACTATCAAGGAGGTCGGCCTGACCCGCAGCCCATTGAGCTTCAAGAACAGGCTCGTCGATCCGGGAGACAGCCCCGGGAGGGAGAGCGGTCTAAGAGAACCTTACGGCCTATCTGTGCTCACATCCCAACAGAATTCAGGCCCCTGTCATCATTCTAACCTTGTAGCCTTTTATTAATTTTACATGACAGTTTCAATGGTAAGAGTCGAAGAAGACGTGATACCAAGAACAGCGGGTGCCAGTGGGTGAGGCCAGGGCGAGAGGCGGCCCGGGCGTGGGGCCGTGTCTTCAGGGGCGCCTCTCCCACGCGTCCCCGCCTCTCGGGGCACCCGAGCCCCGGCTTCCAGGTTCTGCCGCGGGACCAGCAGCCCAGAGGGAAGGCGGTGGGAAGAGCGGCACCCAGGACGCTGATTGGTTGCCTGAGAGCACGGGGCGGGGCAGACGGAGGCCGGGGAGGGCGCAAGAGCGGAACACCGCGGGAGAGCACTTCCGTTCTTTGTGGCTCGCGGCTGCGGGTGGGCGG